TCCTATCATGTTATTCGAAATGTGACTCTGTTGAGAGCAATGTTTGTGAGACATGGAATGGCTGTATAGTTAAATATAGGGGGTTAAGAATTGTAGACATGCTGGAGGGTATAAGGCAGTACATGATGGACAGGGTAGTACTTAAGTCAGAAATGTTTGCAAAGTGTACAGACACCTTGCCTCCAAGGATTAGGAAACGTGTTGAAAGGGAAAAGGAGGAGGCAAGATTATGTGTAGCTAAGCAAACTCTCAATGCAAGGTGTGAGGTAAAGAAGGGGGGTGAAGGGTTTATAGTAGATGTGACTGAATGTACATGCTCTTGTGGCTACTGGCAACTTAGTGGAATTCCATGCTGCCACGCAGTTTCAGCTGTTAGCCATCTAAGAAGAGAAGTTGATGATTATGTGCATTCATACTATCATGTCTACATGGCTAGTTTTGCATACAACTATGGGATACCTTGCCTTGATGGTAGGCAAGCATGGCCTGCACCTGAGGGAATACCTGTTCATCCTCCCAAGACTAGATCAATGCCTGGCAGGCCAAAAAAGAAGAGAAGGAGGAGTGCAAATGAGGTGGAGGAGACCAGAGCACAAAGAAACGGGGTTGGTGAAGAGGTTACAAGGAGAGGTAATCTCATCCACTGCTCCAAGTGTGGCGGCGAGGGGCACAATGCCAGATCTTGCAAGGCACCCCCTGTTGCAGAAGTTGTGGTGGTAAGATTTTTGTAAACCTTTAGTCTTTCTTATAATGGAATGTGGTGTGATTAGTCTGTTTTCTCCTTGCAGGAGAGAAGGGAACAGGGGAATATCCAATCAAGGCCACCTGCTGCGCGAGAATCAGGCCAGAATACTAGAGGGAAGAGGGCCATTCATTGTTCCAAATGTCAGAGTTCCACTCACAACGCAAGGACTTGTCCTCTGAATAGAGGAAATGGTGTACAAGTAAGTGGTTTCCTTCCTAATGCAGCATGGCCTTGATTGAGACAAATTTTCTTATCTGTCCTGTTGCATGTATGTAGGATGTGATACTTAATGTGGCTGATAGAAGAACAATTGAGAGGGAATTGAGAATTGCAACATCTGGAGTTGGCGTTTATGTTAATGAGAGGACAGGGAACCAGTATGTTAGGGTGTGTTTCCAACCTGTCTTGTAATTGTAATAAGTCTTCTTAATGTAGTTGTATTGAATACTAATATGTTTGTTACTCATTTCAGCTTAATGGAGCTGCTGGCAGGCCAGTTCGTGCACCTCAGCCAACTGTCGTGGACTTGCATGGAAGTCAGCCACCACCTAGTCAGCCTTAGATGTAGGAAGAATATGATGCTTAAGTCATCTTTTGTGTAATGTCCATAGTAGACACTTATGTGCACTTTGCTATGTAATGACGATTACATGACTCAGGAAGCTGTTGGTAGCAGATTAGTTTGCAAACTGTTTTGGTTAGGGAAGGTTATGAACACACTCTTAAGGTTGTTAGCTGCAGTGTATGATGTACTCTTCTAATCGACACCATTTTGATGTGCACCCTTTGCACTTGGTTAATATATGTGTCTCATTATAGAGACCAAACATTTGTTACTTGCTTTAGAACATTACATTGTTACTCGCTTTAAAGAAATAGAGAGACCAAACATTTGTGTCCATTAAAGCTTGCATACATTTGTTCAACGTACTCAAACAACAACTCGTACAAATTGCCTAATCCACAGAATGCTAACTACATACCAGATTCTGGCCTCCAAAGAACAACAACCAATATAGCATTCATAAATACGATACCAATCAACAGATATCGAATAATACGAACATCATCATCCAATCGCTTAACACGAATCGCCATAACCTCATGAGCAAGCATCAATCTGCTTAGTTCTTCAGCCAAGCATTCTTTTTCCTTCTTCATCTTCTCTTCCTTCCTTTCTGCTAGCATCAGACTCTCTTCCAGATTCTTAATAGAACCCATTTCATTAGTCCATGAGCCAGTTTCATCATCGTTTGATTCCACCCACTGAAAAAATCGACAAGTTTTTTTCCTATCCTGCAGCGAAATAATACGCATGAAACTCAAAAAATCGACAAGTTTGATTCCACCCACTGTAAAAACCAATTGGGTCACAGAACCCCTATATTGCTTACCTTCCAATAAGGACAACCGTAGAACTGCCGCCCTGGGTTCGTATAAGTACCCGAAGTTTTAAGAACACATGGGACGTTGTGCTCGCATCGAACAACAATCCTACTATTGGTGCTTGCTGATCCGGAATCGGCAACATTGAAATCCACCTTCTTTCCAGACCTATTCGACATGGATTCGGAGATGAAGGGTTGACCGGGATATGGAGCAGCTGGGATTCGGAGATGAAGGAACGGCTGGGCGAAACTGTCTCGGTGATTATGTTGGTGTATGGAGCGAAAATGGAATCGGGAGAGGAGGTATCGAGGGAAGGAAGGGATTGGAAATAGAGAAACTGTCTTGGTGATTATGTTGGTGTATGGAGCGAAAATGGAATCGGGAGAGGAGGTATCGAGGGAAGGGATTGGAAATAGAGAGGAAGAAGGGATTGAAAATAGAGAGGTAGAGAGGAGTCTCTGTTGTGCGAACCCTAGAAAACCAGAGAGGAAGGGAATGAAAACGACGGCGAGGCCAAGAGAGAGAGAGAGAGAGTGTTCAATTTTTTTTTAATCCGATGTGGCGTCCACGTGGCTAAGTCCACCCGGTTGGCGATGACGTGTCATCCATTTGGCGGACAGATCAGCAAAACGGACACTTAACTGACGGGGACGTTAACTCCGTCAAATCTTTTAACGGAAATGGCTAGATTAGACAACGAACTTTAAAAAGTATGGCTACATCTGTGTATTATTCAAAAAGTGGCTATATCTGTCAAAACCGTGAAAGTTATGGCTACACGGGTGAATTAAACCTTGATAAAAATGTAGTAAAGAATTAACAGAACTTTAGTGAGGATGAAAGAGTTTGTCATCTTACCCTATCCCTCACATACACTCAAATATATTAAAAGAAAAAGTCTTTATTATTTGATCAAAGTTGTTGTATGTATGACTAGGATGGGAAATTGATTTGTGAAACTAAATCGAATCGAATATAAAAACCGAAAAATTTGAACAAGTAATATCTTTAAAAATGAACTATTAAGAGGCTTAAACAATTCAATTTGATTTCAAGAAAATGAAACCTGAATGAATTTAATAATGAGGAAAATTCATATGCTAATATAAGTTGCTCACTATGCACATCTTACTTTCTTTTTCCGATTTACAACGTGGTCTTATTAGTGGTTGCTGGTCATGAAACTTAGTGCTTTATATTGCTTTGGATTTGGTCAATTTGTTCCTCTGATCAATTGTTAAGTTTTGCTACATATATAAGTGATTGCTACAATTCTATCATTTTGCTTCCATCTTTACTTGATCGGATTTGTGTATCCAACGAGTTAACTGGTTGATAGAACTTGGATCCAACAAATTATATTATGAATGTTCTTTATTTTATCTTAATAAATTGAAACCACGATTAGTGGTGTCTTAAGTTGTATGGACAATGAGAAAAAATTATTTTTTTTGTTAGTGAATTAGAGGTGAGGTGTTGTACATGTTAGGCTTATGAATAATAATCATATGTATGTGTTCACTTTTAGTGTTGAATTCGCTTATCATATGGATATGCAATCGCTCTATATAGTAGTTAATTCATTGTATGTTTCATGATCCAAGTCAAAGTTGTGCTCGATCGATAACCTTCTAACTCTCTTCCTCACTCACAACAAGTTGAATGTTATTATTCAATGATTTTTTTTTTTTAAATTTTACCTGTTTTCTCCAAGAGTTTTTATTATATGAGTCCTGATGGTTAGGCGTAACTTTCCTATTTATGCATTGTTCACTCAATATATGTTCATTCACCCATTTTACCAATGAATGGTAACTAAGTATTGTTGGAAATCATCACGGACTACAAAAATGGTTAATAATATAATAGATATCAAAAGACATATGAGATATTAACAGCCGCTTCACTCCCCATTTAGCGAGAAAGACCAACTAGATAACAAGAAAATATAATTTTTTTGTTCCCAGTTTGTTTGGACCTACCAAGGTTCTAATAAAGCATGATGATTGTTTCTTACACTTATGTCATGTAAATGTAGAATAAGCTTTTTATCAATTTTTAATTTGTTTTATGTTGTTTGACATCTATTGTGTACTTCATTGTTTTTCTTTCCTTTCGTTAGTTTTAAGGAAAGGAGACCAATAAAATGAACTATGATTAGGGGTCTACATGAATCGGGGTGAGTTAGTTTTGAACCCTCTCAACCATGCAACTCATATGCCTTAGGTCAAGTGACGCACTACCCAAATCGAATTATATGACACATAAATCCATGTGTTTCAGGTGATGCGCCGGTTGAATTGGATTGATACTAGACATGTCTATACATTAACTAAATAGGGCTGAACCTCGGTTCATTTTATGTTAATCAAACCAAATTGGTTGGTTATCCAAAACCGAATTGCTGTCATTTTAGCAATTGTAATTGCTGTTGTTGCGATTACTAGAGAACCGAATATTATGATTTTTGGTTATGTTGCGGTTAACTGCGTTCAACCAATTAACCTATTTGTCATTCTTTTTGGTTTAGGTTACCTAATGGGGTAGGCCATTTGGCTTTGGGGTAGTTTAATTTTGCGATTATATGGGAATTTTGTTTTGCAGTTTGGTGTGCAGTTACACCAAACACCAAAGATTATCTAAAACCAAATCTGCAACTATTCTATTCCTTCATTTTATTGTTCTCGATTAACTATTAATCGTAAAATTCGAATAAGACTTCGGTTAACTTGCATGACCATAACCAAATTTTCTACCCTATAACCAAATACTCCCTGCGGCGTAGCCGCGGGTATTGATTCTAGTACATCTTTAACTACTAACTCCAAAACATTAACATAGTTTCTACATGTATCCATCGATGGATCTAGACGGTACTGTCATCCCTGGTTGCAGAGGCAGTCCCTACTTCCTCCTTGACATCATCACCGGCAGTCCCCGCCGGTTCCTCTGCTTCAGTCTCCTCGGACAGCTCCTCCAGCGACTTCCCGTTTGACTCCGGCACCAACAACGTGAACAGAATCCCCAGTAAATTGATACCCGCCATCACAAACAACGACCCCTGCATCCCAATCCCCGGGCTGTACCCCTTGTCCACCTTCGCCGGATCCTTCGGCTGCGACGCGTACAAGAACTCGAACGCGCCCACGATTGCCCCGGCCTTCCCCGCCGCCGCCGATATCCCGTGACACATCGACCGCAGCCTCGCCGGGAATATCTCCGCCGGAACCACAAACGTTGTCGCATTGGGCCCGAAATTCGCAAAAAAGAAAGTCAATCCGTAGAACACCGGAAACCCAACGTAGTGCCGAAGCCAGTAGTTGTACCAAGTCGCCAGCACACACATCGACACGGTCATGCCAAAGAATCCCAGCAATTGAATCTTTTTCCTCCTCATCTTGTCGATCAGCGCCACCGTGACCCAGTACCCCGTGAGAAGAAACAGAAAACTTAGGGTTTTTGGTGAAGAGAGCTCAAGAATCTGAGATCTTCTTTTCTGCATTTTCCCATTATATACTGAATGTTTAAACGCTGTACAAGGAACTAACGGCTAATCTACAGTAATTATAAACTGAAATACAAAACTAGCCACTAAACGTTTGCCACTTGTCTAACGCGAAGACTTAAGAAAACAACCACTGACTAAAGGAAACGACCCCGTTCTGCTACTATCGCTGCGTTTCTGGATTGAGGCAGAACGCTGCCGTTTCGTCAAACCAATGCTGAGCTTCCTTCTTCATCGACTGCAGGGCACTCCTTCTTTCTTCTTCTTCAGGTCTCAGCTCCTACAGTCGATCCTGCTGTATCCTCTATTACCCTCCCACAAGCTGGCGAGGATCTTCCAGATACTCCCAGCTTGTTCATAAGAAAGTTGAACCTGTCAATAGCCAAACTCTTCGTGAATAAATCTGCAAGTTGGTGCACTGTGGAAACATGGAACAGATTGATCAATCCACTTTGCAGCCTTTCCCTTATCACATGACAGTCAACTTCTATGTGCTTCGTGCGCTCGTGAAACACTGGATTCTTGGCAATATGAATGGCTGATTGGCTATCACAGAACACCAAGGCAGGTTGTGACTGTTCTATACCAAAATCAGACAGCAATCGAACCAGTCATTGAATCTCACAACTCAGTAGAGCAAGTGCTCTATACTCAGCTTCAGAGGAAGACCTTGAAACTGTACTTTGCTTCTTCGCTTTCCAACTGACCAAACCTGTTCCTAGGAACACACAGAAACCAGTCAAAGACCTTCGAGTATCTGGACAAGTTGCCCAATCTGAGTCACTATACCCAGTTAACTGCATTGAAGAATCCTTGGAGTAAAATATACCCTGGCCAGGAGACCCCTTTAAGTATCGAAACACCCTTTGCAATGCCTTAAAATGAACTGTGGTAGGGGCATCTTGGAACTGGCACAACTGTTGGACTGCAAAAGTAATATAAGGTCTTGTGCTATTAAGATACTGCAATTGTCCCAGCAAATGCTTGTAATTGCTGACATCAAGATAAGGATCACCATCACTAGCTGAAAGCACCTGCTTGATGCTCGATGGAGTTTTTGCTGCCTTACATTCATCAAAGCCTGCTTCCTTTAGAAGCTCAAGACAGTACTTCCTCTGTGAAACATGGATTCCAGCCTCTGATCTGTTAACCTCCAGACCTAGAAAGTACTGCATATTTCCTAGATCCTTCATTTTGAACAGAGACTTCAGCATTTTCTTGACTGTGTTAACTGCCTCAAGGCTTGCACTCCCTATCACAATATCATCCACATAAACAATCACACCTACCAAGACTCCATTCACTTTTGTAAGGAAGATTGAATAGTCTGATTTAGACTGTGTAAAACCATTTGCCAACAAGGACTCAGTGAGCTTAGCATACCACATTCTGCTATCTTGTTTAAGTCCATAGAGTGACTTTTTCAGTTTGCAAACCTTGCCTCTGTACTCTGGCTTATCCCTTAATCCCTCTGGTAGTTCCATGTAAACATCCTCATCCAAATCTCCATTCAAAAAAGCGTTATTTACATCCATTTGATGTAAATGCCAGTTCTGTGTAGAAGCAATTGCAAGCAACATCTTTACTGAATTCAATTTAGCCACTGGTGAGAAGGTATCACAGTAGTCTATTCCATAAATCTGTGTATATCCTTTTGCTACCAACCTTGCCTTAAACCTTTCAAGTGTTCCATCTGGAAAAAATTTGACTTTATAAACCCATTTATTACCAACAGGCTTAACCCCCTCTGGCAAGTCAGTGATCTCCCAGGTTTGGTTGGCATAAAGAGCGGATAGTTCTTCCATCATGGCAGCATTCCACCTAGGATCCTTGGCTGCCTCAGCATAACAGCGTGGCTCAACTAACTTCTCAAGGAGAAAAGCATAGTGTTGTTGAGCAGGAGTAAGAAAAGTAAGATACTGAGGAAAAACACTGGGAGAGCAGCTAACTTGAGCAGAACCAACATAAAAATCATTATACTTGGCAGGAAAAACACTTTGTCTTGTGGATTTACGAGGGAGGACATTTGGAGGAGAAGAGGGTGGTGAAGGAAGAGGGGAATTGGAGGAGGAAGGAGCAGTATTGGAAATGCTGCTAGACTCAGTGACAGCAGCAGGTGAAACAGGTGGAGTAGGTGAGGAAGGTGTGGAGGGTGCAGTGGGAGAAGAAGAATAAACCACTGCATCAGGCTCAAAGATAGGAAGAGGACCTGGACAAATAGGAACCTCTGAACTGGAAGAAGACAAGGGAGCAGAAGGAAGATCAGATTGATGTCCTTCTGCAGAAGCAGGTTTGGAAAAGGAGATGATGTGTTCATGAAAAACAACATCTCTACTGACAAAGACTCTCTTGGTGTCTAAGTCTAATAACCTGTACCCTTTGATCCCAACTGGAATACCTAGAAACACACATTTCCTAGCTCTTGGATCAAACTTATGTTTGTCCTTCAACCACAGTGGCATAAGCAAGGCATCCAAACACTCTCAAACTCATAAAATCTGGAGGAACCTTATGCAGCAACTCAAAATGAGTTTTGTAATTTAAAAGAGGGGTAGGGGTTCTATTAATGAGATAAGCTGCATGAAGAACAAAGTAACTCCAGTAAGAAAGGGAAAGACCAGATTGGAACCTAAGTGACCTAGCAACATTGAGGAGATGCTGGTGTTTTCTCTCCACTCGGCCATTTTGTTGTGCTGTATAAGCACAACTCATTTCATGGACTATTCCATATGTTGAGTAAAAATCAGACATATGGAACTTAGCCCCTTGGTTTGATCTGATGGTTTTGACAGGTACAGAAAACTGAGTTTGTACAATTTGGCAAAAAGACTGCAAGGTGGACCTTGCTTCACCCTTGGATTTAAGAAGAAAAACCCATACAGCCCTACTGTAATCATCTACTAAGTAAGGAAATAAGAAAAACCATCAACAGAAACTTGATTGAGTGGCCCCCAAATATCCACATGAACAAGAGAGAAAATGTGTGTACTAGTTGAGGTGCTTATAGGAAATGGCAACCTCTTTTGTTTAGACAAATGACAAACATCACAGTGTTTAATGGAAGGAAGGGTTACATCAGAACAATGATTCTTAACTTCTCTCAATCTAGACAAAAAAGGATGTCCTAATCTGGCATGCCAGATATTGAAATCTTGGCTCTGAAAGTTGAAAGCTCCTGCTGCTATACTGGGGAAATCCTTAGAATCATCAAACACTTGACCCTTGGACTCTGAAAACAGGTAAAGACCTCTATCCACTTGGGCTAAACCAATCCTCCTCCGAGTAATAAGGTCCTGAATGACACAAAAATTGGATTTAAAAACTAAGGAAACTGGATGATTTTGGGTCAATCTACTTACAGAAACCAAGTTGTAAGTAAAGCTAGGAACAAAGAGGACTTGAGTGAGAAACAATCCACAAGGCAAAGTGACAATTCCAATATGAGTTGCAGAAACCTGTTGACCATTTGGCAAATTCACATGTATCTGCTCTATTGGTTTGCATTTCAGGAAGGAGTTAATATCACAGATTATGTGATCTGTGGCTCCAGTATCAAGAATCCAAACTGTGGGATTAAGAACACTGGAACAGACAACCTTACCTGAAGTAGCTGCAGAGAAATGGGATGGTGCATTGGATCTGTGCACAGCATTGACAGAAGGACCCCCTCTTGCAGCCATAACTGCTGAATGCTGCATATGAGGAGATGTTGGTGGAGAAGGTGAAGGAGAGGATGAACCACTTCCCAACATAAGCTTCAACTTCTCAAACTTTGAAGCAGTTAGCAGACTTGTTAGAGACAAGTCTGAATCAGTCCTGCCATGGCCTGATGAAATGGAACTTCCTCCATCAGTCATGTTTGACTCCACTGAACCAGCAAAAGAAGCACCTCCCCCTTCTCTATTCTGCTTGTTCTTCAGTTTGAAACACTCTTGAATTGTGTGAAACTCCTTCTTGCAAAACCTACACCACTTCTTCCCTTCATGAGTGTAGTCTCTGGGGTTCTTACTAGGCTGACCTTGTTGCCCAGTTCTCTGCCGACCTTGGTGACCACCTGATCCTTGTTGTCCAGGTCTTTGTTGGCCAGCAGCAAGAAGAGCCAATGACTCTACTCGTCCTTTACCAGCTCCTACCCCCTTCATCTGTCTCTCTAACTGAATCATCTGTTTAAAGACTGACTCAATACTAGGCAGCTGAGAGTTCATTAGCACTTGGGTACGAGCTGTTTGATAGACATCATTGAGACCTTGCATAAATTTGATAATGAAATCTTGCTCTTCATAGCGCTGAATGGTAAAGAAAGGACTATTTGCACAAGGGCAACAAGTAACAGGTCGATACATTTTGTACTCTTGCCATTTGGTAGTGAGGGCAGTGTAATATTGTGTCACTGTCTGATCTCCTTGAACCAACTTGCCTATCTGCTCCTTCAATTCATACACCCTGATGTAGTCAGCTTGACTAAAACGATCCTTAAGATTATCCCAAACATCCTTAGCAATTCTATATGGAACTACACTATGTGCAATATCCTCAGAAAGAGAGTTATAGATCCAGCACCTAACAGTGCTATCACATCGATGCCAAGATTGCCATATGGGATCCCCTGGATCTGGGACTGGTATGGACCCATTCACAAATTGTAGCTTGTTCTTAGTACTGAGAGCTAGTTCCATTACCTGACTCCAGAGGTTGTAGTTTTGATCCGTGAGTTTCATCGAGATGATGGTGGTCAGAGCACCATCGTGAGTAGGTAGATAGTAGGGATTCAGGTAAGGGTCATCATAATGAGGGATAATCGGTGGAACAAAAGCATTCACATGTTGATTTCTCGGCGTCGGCGTCCGAGGTAGGGTTTCATCATTTGCAGAAAGAACTTCATCATTTGTTGC